TTGTACACATTTGGGAGTACTTTAGTAGCCTTTTCGAGGCCCATTTACGGGAAAAAATTATTCAAACACTTGTACTCTTTCCAGTGTTCTCATTTTCGCTTGAACTTTTTAGTTTTCTTATCGTCTGCCAATGCAAAACGGGAAGCCATTTTGAAAAAGAAAATTTTTTGCAGTTTATGACCGTTGCTAAGCAACTGAACTACCAATCATTTTGTAGCAATTCGGCCCCGAATTACGGAAAAAAGCCCTCCTTCATTTAGCCAATCAGCATCGAGTAATTTTGCCCCGTATATGATAAAGGGAACTATTGAGAACTATGAATCCTATGAACCTTAGAATCTATGAACCTGTGAATCCTCAAGAGGAATAAAACTGACGTTTTCTAAGGGATTATTGTAGTTTAATGTTGTTGTGGCGCCATTTTGAATGCACAGGGACCCCAATCGAATCATAATATATGACACCAGAGAAAACATTTTAGCGCCAAACTTTTTACTTCTACACTTAATGAGGTCAGCCATTTGGAAGTATGGCGTTTAAAATTCTTTGAAGCGTTTTCCTTAACGTTTTGCCGTCGAGTTAGAACGGTCTGGTGCGTCTGGTGCTGAAACAGCAAATAGACGTAAAATATTTCTTCATTATGGACAAATTCTTATTGAATCCACTTTTTTCGCTTTTCTCTTTGTGGGCTTCCTTTGTGCTGTCATATCACAGGCTAACCACTCTAATAAATGAAGGAAATACTCTAATAAATGAAGGAAATACTCTAATAAATGAAGGAAATACTCTAATAAATGAAGCAAAATACTAAATGGTGTCTTGTCTTTGTCTTTTTATGCGCGCGCTATCGATTTTTTGTCATCTCCCCTACCCCCTTGGTAACAATTTTGTTTTTCTACTATACAATATACTAACAGTGTATACCATTTAGTATTTCCTTCATTTATTAGAGTATTTCCTTCATTTATTAGAGTGGTTAGCCTGTGGTCATATATTACGATTCAATTGGGGTCCCTTTGCATTCAAAATGGCGCCACAACAACACGAGTTGAACAGAGTTGAACTTGTAAACGTATTTTAATATAGTTTATAAATTTGTGGATCACTGAGATCCAAAGTAATCACTAACTTTCTAAGACATGGAGCTACACAGTTTTCATCTAATTTGGTAATCTACACTGTCGTTTCGCGTTTTGAAGATCTGTAAAATGCGAATCGTTTCGCTTTATGAAGATCTGTAAAATGCGAAATGACGGTTTCGCATTTTGAAGATCTGTAAAATGCGAAATCCTCGTTTCGCATTTTATTGTGTCGTTTCGTTTCGTTTCGTTGTTTGATGTAAGCCCTTTATTCCTGAACAAGAGTTAGGTTTAGGGTTAGGGTTAGGGTTAAACTAGGGGAATGCTGTAAAACATTGCCCAATGGCTCCAATGTCTTGCGTAAAATAGTGCTGTCGGTGTGCAACATCCCAATCCCGATCATTYGCTTTTATTTTCAGCCCCTTTTWAACCCTAACCCTGAACGACATTGGTGTATGTTGGGAATTGACGTACTGATAAAAGGCAAAGAAGTTATCGTCCAAGAGAACGCGACACCCGAGAGGACGAAGGTAGGCCTAGAAATGCAAAGTGTTCTCAAGGAGGAGTATGTTCTGTTTGGTGAAAAAAGAAATCTTAACCTCAGAAGATCGTAACAACAAGGCCACTCTACAACAGTCGTCTGCAAAGGATTTCTCTCCAGAAATTTTAAACTTAGATATCTTTTAGTGCCTTGAAGGGTATTGTCCGCCTTGGCACGTTGGGACGCAGGGGGCCGCGCAATCGTCGCCCCTATCTTTGTTTGCCTAAAATTATCGCCTAATTATCGTTGCGTTCTAGCACGGATTCTGACTTAGAGGCATTCAGTCATAATCCAACAAATGGTACCTTTTCAGCCAAGTGCAAATGCCAATTGTCTAAATCTGCGGTTGCTCTCGTACTGAGTAGAATTACTATTGCAACAGCATTTCATCGATAAGGTAAAGCTAACCTGCCTCCCGACGGTCTAAACCCAGCTCACGTTTCCTATTAGTGGGAGAACAAAGAATAAAAGACGACGAACTTAAAAAGCCGCGTTTTCCTCTATGATATCTACATTCAGCTAAGCTAAATGCGAGCAGCTCGTCTAGCGCGCCTTGAGGGTCGTACTATGAATTTTAGGGGCAATTGATTCGTCCCCGCCATCCATTTCCGACTTAAGCCCAGCCAGCCGGTGAAGGCAAGAAGGGCCTTACCTCTAGAAAGGCGTGACCTATACTACGAAGCAGACGAGAGGCGGTCTCCTTCCTTTCACTGACTCGCCAACGGAGGTCGAGTCAGTGAAATGACCTTAACTCATTAGGGTCTAGGCACCGCARTAATCAGGTCTGTCTTACGTGCCCATTCATTCCACCTCAGAATTTCGTCTGGAAGTTGAGGTTAGACCTCCTGTCGTTCGGGGACGGATCTAGTTAGGTGAGTGAACGGACCAGCCTGTCACGAGTGTACCACAGGACGTGGTTGCAGTGAAGCAGGCACCTATGTATCTGAGCGATCACCCAGTCCACACGTGAGTACGGTGAAAGTCTGTGAAGTACAGATTCGAAATACCGGGGGATCGCACCCATATATGACTCCAAATGTGAACACCTCAAAATGAACTGTGGTGTTAAAGATAGACTCGATGTGTGGTATCAGGTTTCGGTATTTGTGAAGTTTCTGATCTCTGGCAGTGTCCATCGCATTGTCCATGCTGCTATTTGCCAGTACCACTACGGACTAAATCAAATATTATGTCTGGACTCATGTCAGATTCGCCGTCTGGCCCTGGTATAGTAGGTTCAATCTGAAAGCTGCCGTCTTTGAAACGGTGCTGCTTTTAGCACATCTCCAACCATATTCCCAATTCCGCCACGATTTTGTTGTGACGGTCATTGCGAATACTAACTAGTTCTATGTGTGGACAGGAGCATAAGATATGCTTTACAGTTTCCCGTGGGGCGTTACACAATAGGCAGGTGGGGCCATCTGTCAAAGGATCAGAACTCCACACCGAAGTGATAAAACGACAAGGCAAAACGTTAAACAGCATTTAAAGGTTTTCAGTTGTGCACATTCCAATTGCAAGACTTAGTAAAGCCATGTCTTGTTCTTTCTTGTCAGCCTCAATCTCAATACATTACTATCAACAATTAAGATCACACGCAGTCTTTGGCCGTGTGAAACCCAAATCCAGACTTGCCCTCCAATGGATCCRCCTTAAAGGTTTTCAGTTGTGCACATTCCAATTACAAGACTTAGAAAAGCCATGTCTTGTTCTTTCTTGTCAGCCTCAATCTCAATACAATAGCTTACCATCGACACTTAACATCACACGCAGTCTTTGGCTGTGTAATTATAATAATAATAGTTTTAATGCTTCTATAGCGCAAAAAGGCATTTGGGTATATGATCTAATGCGCTTTACAAAAATGGTAAGAATAAATAAATAATAAAATTCTATCTAAACTAACTAAATTATAATATATTAATGAAATTTATATACATACAATTAAAATGTGATAATATATACATACAATGCGTTAGAAAAAATAAATGAATAAATAATTATATAAATGCATAAATAAATAATCTAGAAATATGACTTCTTAAAAAGATGTGTCTTCAGTTCCTTCTTGAAAATAGCAATACTATTAATGGCTCTTAATCTTGGTGGCAACGCGTTCCATAAGGCCGGAGCAGCAACCGCAAAGGCTCTGTCTCCGGTCGTCTTGCCCGATTTTATAACAGGTCTTGCTAAAATGTTGTTGCCTGCAGACCTCAGATGATATCGGGATTGYTGCTTAATAGACACGATACTAGAAATATATTCTGGTGCGAGACCATGTAGGGCCTTAAAAGTAAATAAAATAACCTTAAACATAATTCTAAACTTTACCGGGAGCCAATAACTAATGCATGAACCAGAGTCTTAGCAGCCTCGAATGGTAAACATTTACGTATACGCCTAATGTTATAGATGGAATAGAATGCTGACAGACATGTCTTGTTAATATGCGTTTGAAACTGAAAGTTAGAGTCAAACCAGACTCCGAGATTTCTTGCTTCGTTCACAGATGGTACAACAGTTCCAGCAACTAAAAGATTGTCAGTCTGTACTTTGGCTAGCTGTTGGCGAGTCCCAATTAGCATGAACTCGGTCTTGTCGGCTTCATTTAGCTTGAGCTGAGGGAGGTGAGTCTTAATGACATCGAAGAGCTTACTGGCGTAGACAGAAAAGAGCAGGGGACCGAGACAGGATCCCTGTGGCACTCCAAATGACAAACAGTGTCTCTCAGACAATTTCCCGTCGACCATGACACGCTGGATCCGCCCAGATAAATATGAATGGAGCCATTTCAAGGCCGTTCCAGTAATGCCGAACGATGTTTCAAGACGACGGAGAAGGATGGTATGGTCCACCGTATCGAAGGCAGCGCTGAGGTCTAAGAGAATTTTAAAATAGGGATACATGTTGACTGTTCATATTCAATAGGATGTCATTAGCAATCTTCAACAGTGCCGTCTCGGTGCTGTGTTCTTTCCTGTACGCCGACTGTAATACTGGGAATAATCATGTGAAACCATGTTACCTTATGTTACATTAATTTCAGCCGATGAAATACGCCTTTTGCCTTTTTATATGCCAAATAGAAAGACAAAAATGATAAGAACCTATTTTTTTTCTATTTTGAGGCAGAGTCAAACCTAAGAGAAAAAAAAGATTATGATTCGAAAAAAAGGTATAACAACCTAACGACGGAAATTAAGGTAAGATATCACAATCGTAAACGTACATTTATCGTATTCCCACATGGTCTAGTGGTTAGGGTTTGGCGCTCTCACCGCAGTGGGCCGAGTTCGATTCCCGCTGTGGGAAAACATTTTGCATAATTTTCCCACCAAACAATGAATAAAGGTGATTACAAAAAACAATTTGTCTTGTCACAGAAATATGTTGGAAAGTTAAAGAGTATTAATGTGGGGGGAAACAGTGCTTGAGAAAAAGCGTCGAGAAAAATGGCAGAGACGCTTCATAGCTCGCGGCATTGAAGCCAAGTACGAGAGTTGGTTTCTTGGAATATTTAGCAGCTGCATTGTGGAGATCCGTAAGGAAAAGTATTGGAGAAAAAGTATCGTGCTGTTATAGCCGGGCATTGGGAATAGTATAAGCCTYTTGGATCGCGTGCATGCCAGTGGTGCGTTCGAGGAGACGTTGTGAATGTTGGGCAAAGAAGGCAAAGTCTGGATTTTAGTTTCACTCGGCCAAAGACTGCGTGTGATCTTAACTGTTGATAGTAAGCTATTGTATTGAGACGAGCCTGACAAGAAATAACAAGAGATGACTTTTCTGATTCTTGCAATTGGATTGAGCACATTCGAGGGCAAGTTTGGATATTGGGTTCACAAGGCCAAAGACTGCGCGTGATATTAACTGTTGATGGATAAGGTATYGTATTGAGAGGGAACCTGACAAGAAATATAAAGACATGGCTTTCTTAAGTCTCGCCATTGGATCCATTAGAGGGTAAGTCTGGATTTTGGGTTCACACGGCCAAATACTGCATGTGATCTTAACTCTTGATAGTAGTGTATTACGACGTATCCTAACAAGACATGGCTTTACTAATTCTTGCAATTGGAATAAGCAGAGCTGAAAACCTTTAAGGAGGATCCATTGGAGGGCAATTCTGGATTAAGGGTTCACACGGCCCGAGACTCTCCATTGGATCCATTAGAGGGTAAGTTTGGATAAAGGGTTCACATGGCCCGAGACTCTCTATTGGATCCATTAGAGGGTAAGTCTGGATTAAGGGTTCACACGGTCCGAGACTCTCCATTGGATCCATTAGAGGGTAAGTCTGGGTTAAGGGTTCACATGGTCCGAGACTCTCCATTGGATCCATTAGAGGGTAAGTCTGGATTTTGGGTTCACACGGCCCGAGACTGCATGTGATCTTAACTGTTGATAGAGGTGTGTTGAGATGGAGCCTAACAAGAAACGGCTTTACTAATTCTCCTGGATTTTGGGTTCACACGGCCCGAGACTGCATGTGATCTTAACTGTTGATAGTAGTGTATTGAGATGGAGCCTAACAAGAAACGGCTTTACTAATTCTTGCGATTGGAATGAGCAGAACTGAAATCCTTTAAGGAGGATCGATTGGAAGTCAAGTAGGGATTTTGGGTTCTCACGGACAAAGACTGTATGTGATCCTAGCTGTTGATGTGTATGCTAATGTATTGACAGTGGGCCTGACAAGAAATATAAAGACATGACTTTTCTAAGCAAGTCTGGATTTTGGGTTCATACGGCCAAAGACTGCGCGTGATCTGAACTGATCATGGGTAAGGTAATATATTGAGAGGGAGCCTGACAAGAAATATGGTTTTTTTATGTCTCGCAATTGGATCCATTAGAGGGAAAGTTTGGTTTTTGGGTTCAAACGGCCCGAGACAGCATGTGATGATAACTGTTGATAGTAAGGTTTCATATTGAGAGGGACCCTGACAAGAAATATAAAGCACTGGCTTTTGTAAGTCTTGAATATGGAATGAGCACAACTGAAAAGCTTTAAGGAGGATCCATTGAATGGCAAGTCTGGATTTTGGGTTCACACGGGCAAAGACTGCATGT